ATTTGAGCGAAAGTAATTATGGCGACCAAGTTCACCGAGAGAAAATGTTCCTGTTCCCGATGGTAGTTCAGCACAGAGTCATAGTTGAAAATAAACAAATAGACGCCGTATTATTGGAGAAAAAACAGGCTGCCTGGGGATGAAATTTGTAGTTCCTTGACCATTTTCTAGATAACCCACAACCAGGGATTTGCTTCGCGATATAAAAATAATTGACACTGTTTCAACTTTCTGTTCCTTTTTCTCTGCCAAATGCGGAGTCTAGCGACCTAAAATACTTTGTAATATCTGACTTATCTGAGCGATAGCCCCTGATGGAGAGGTCCTCTAGCCTCGAAACATGTAGGGCGCTTTAACTTGATCAAAGTATTTTGTGGAGGAAGACTTTGTATGCATTCTTTTGGAATCAAACTTCAACTCCACTTTGAGAGATGGACTACTTCTTCAATTAAGAACTCTAATGGATTCTGCATGTCTCGAATAAACCTTCTTGGCCTCCGCAGCACAACCCTCGTGTGGCTGAATTCACCAAAATGTTGCAATGCCAGGGATGCGGTGATTTATCGACTCACTAATGCATGCTAATGCTTGTTTAATTTAATACTGCTTTTTCTACCATTCCACCACGGGCCTGCACCAGCTGAATTTAGCCATACGCGGTTATCTTCATCAGCGGCACTTATCTCTACAAATAAATTTTCCAGCTCATCCAAATTAATTAGGTACCCATAATCAATGCCTATAATACATCGATAAAATACAATTCACGTACTGTCATCAATTAGGTTCACGTACTGTCACCAATAGGTTAGAAAACCAGTCTCAAGGGACCTCTGGACATTCCTCAAGTCAAGGAAGGAAATGTGACAAAATACGCATGAGCTGCGATAAGGACGCCTTGACAATTTTGACTCTGAAAGACAATTTACTGCCAAGGTTACCTTCAAGGAATCCTCAGCACTCAAGTAGGCACTATGAATACCGGGCTAAAGCTACCTTGAGCCTCCCTTTGGCGATGCGTTTTTTTTTTTTTAATAGTAGATTTGTATTTTTCCTTTAAGTTTATTAACAATACTTTTTCTTGGTGGGAGTAGAATGGTAAGATACTTTTTTTTCACTCATTTCTGATTTTAGAGGGCATAGGGCATTCCAACAACAAAAATTCAGCCAGAGTATACAATTCGATTGTGTCACACAAGCGAACACGCGTTAGTAATATACATTTAATAATAATATTTGCTCTAAATTATTAATATTTAATAATAAGTACTAATAGGTATACATATATCTTGAACAAACTACAGCCTATTTGGGTAAATCTTCACGTTTGATTGCATTTAACCCAGCGTTATCTTCTGATTTTTGATAATTCGTTTTGTTAAACTTTATCAGGATGTTCTCGTTCTCGATTCAGTTCCGATGGTATTTTATAGAATTTAAGGTTGTCGCGTTCTACATTACTTACTACATTTCACTACACAACAAAATGCAGGCATTTTACACCATATTTTTGCGCACTTTAGCTGTTTTCTCGCAGTGGAACTGGTTCGATCCGGTTCAATTAGGTTCGAACCTGTACATTCTTGCGTTGAACCAGTGACGTCACATTGAACCTGGTTCAAAAAAGTTCGAACCAGACTCATGGCTTGTTCTCCATTGACATAAGACTGTGGTTCAAACCTTCCATTTTCTCGGGTTCACAAATAGTGACGTCATCTACAAATTGGTTTAAATCGTAGTTCGAACCATTCGCCCCGCGAGAAAACGCCTTTTGTCTTCAACATTCGCCTGCCCTGGCTAACTTTTGACAGCCGCCGTTCTTGACAGGTCGTATAACCTATCCTTTCTGTCGAAAAAGCATTTGATTACACTGTTGCCATATGTAATCTTTCCTTAAGGGAGTCTCAGTGAAGGGAGCGACTATAAAACGAAGAAGCTGAGGACTCCTTAAGGCAGCCTTCAGTAAGGGAGCCTTGAGGACGCCTTCAAGGAATGACTATAAATTTGACCCATAGACACCTTTTCCAAAAAAAAGGGGCAGAGTCGTGATAGTTGCGTGCGCTCATCGTGCACTAGACAGTAGACACAAAAAAACAGTTGTTCGCAAATACGGAATACCGTTGACGTTCCGTAATCTCAATAAACAGTTTCACCTGACAAAACGAACACAAAAATCTGTTTTTTTTTTAAAGATAATTCCCCAAGTCAAAAATTTAGTAACTATGTTGGCAACACAAGCCTTTTCTACATGAAAAATTTGATAGCATTGACAATTTTACATTGTATTGCCAACCTAATGTCAGTTTGACTTTTATCTTTAAAAAAAAAACGCACTTTACTATTGGTACAGCCGAGCCCAGGGTGAAAGTTTCACCCTGAGCCGCTTTCCATACAGTGACTCTATTACCCACAGTGGCGACAATTGCTGTCTTATTTTTGATTGGTTCTAAAATCCCATATATTTATATTGAAAACGCGGCCATCTTGTTCCCACCTATTGCTTATTTCAAATATGAATATATGGGATTTGGGTGAACATCCATCATAAAACATGGAAAACAACGTATTTGATGGACCTAATAAGAGTCATCAAATACGTCGATTTCAATTTTTTTATGATAGATGTCCATTTAAATCCTATATATCAATATTTAAAGGTAAGAGAGCTTGGGAACAAAATGGCGCCGGGACCTCTATTGTCGCCACTGTATGTAAAAGTTTATTTAGCCACTGTAGCTTTCCAGTATGCACATTGGCGCGCTCTAGAGCACCTCGGGGGCGCCACGCACTACATTTGTACCGTTCCAGTATGATGCGAGACGCCTGTCACGCCTGTCTTAAGCCTAGTACTCATAACTGCGAAATTCGCATTTTTTTGACATTGCTTCGACAATTTGACGTTTGATACACGCATAAAACGTCAAATTGTCAACGCAATGTCAAAAAAATGCGAATTTCGCAGTTATGAGTACTAGGCTTTAGTGTCAAATATGTCAAATTTTAAAAATAATTATCTGTTTGTTTGTGCAGTTTGTTTTTGTATTTATCCTAAATGAAAGAGAATCAAAACTATATTTTTTAAAATGTTCAATCTTGAGATAAAGCTGAAGGCTGAAATAAATAAATAAATAGTCACCCACGGATGTGACAGCTGACAGGTGGACGCGTACGTACAGCTCGGGAGCTCAACGCCTCGAGTAGCTCCGGGCGTCACACTCCCATACTGGAAAGCGGCTCTTGGCTCGGCTGTACCAATAGCCGTGTTCGGTTTGTCATCTTTTTCGTCGATTTGCTCCAAAATTTTGACAACCACGTGATTTGTAAGTTGAAACTGTCTGATCCAGTCACGTGCCTGTCAAAATTTCGGAGCAAATCGACGAAAAAGATGACAAAAACGAACACGGCCATTGACATCACATTAAGTTTAAAGCTTACTTCTTATGCATCCGTTTTGCCGTCAATTCGATGATCCGCAAGTATTCCTATTGGTCCAATATTTTGGCTCCAAAATATTGGCCCAATAGGAATACTTTCGGATCACCGGATTAACGGAAATACGGATGCATGAAAAGTAAGCTTCAGTATGTTCGAGAATATGTTCACTTCACACCTGTCATCCTCCATGCGTTTTGCACTCGAACGCTTGAAACCGAACGGGTCAAACTGTAGCCGGAGTACATCGGAGTAACTCGGGAGCGCTCAACGAGTGCCACCCGAAAGCAGCACTGGAGGGCCCGTGCATTTGGTGAAATGGAAATGTCATTGGGCTGTACTTTGTGCACCGAGTTCAGTAGTTGAACTATTAAGGTCATAGCGGAGTGTAAAACCCTACCTGTTCTGAACCCGATGAACCTTTTGTACTAAATTATGATCGCACCCTTGTCTAAATGAAAGCGGCAATACATGCCAAGGACCCAGCCACAGCCTCCTACACTTAACAAGCCATGAAGTTAAAAAGGCAACACCGCAATCTTACCGCCAAGTGGTGCTGGTGCTGTTTGTTTTTATAAGTATATATTTTTTATTTTGTTAATAATAATGACAAAAAATGCATCATTTATTGTACTAAAGGGTCAAAAACAGTAATTCAATGAATAATATAACTATATGTGTAAATAAGAACAGTAAATAATTGATTTAAATGAATATATTTCTAGATTCTAAAGTGTTATAAGCCTATGTTTCAGTATGTCTTTTGAAAATCTAACTTTTTCTTTCTTCGGGATTTTTTCAGAAGGCAGGTTTATTCAAATACTTGAGCTGATTTCCGAAAATAAGAGGTACTTTTAAGAGTTGGACGTTTTAGTTTGAACTCTCGAATTACTCCTTTATTCTTGTTTGTTTCAAATCTAATTATTTCGGTTCCTTCAAAATGTTCACAACACACCACAGAATTTTTCATTATGGTATAATCTCGCCAATCTCGGGTATAATTATCTTGGTGTATTGCTTTCATCCACAACTTCTACATTTCAGAATTTTTTTGGAAATAAATGTTTGCATTTCTTCAGGTTTTAAGGAACTCCTAGTTCGATTTGCACCCATCAGGAACACAGTAGTTTCATGGCATCTGGAAAAAAGTTTAAATATCTTAGGTAATATATCGAGACCTATGCTCTTGCACAATATTAATATTGTTTTTATTGTTTTAACCTTACATTACCTTCATTTTTGCTGCTGTACCCATTTGCTGAAAATTTGCAATCAAAGCACAAAGGAACAGGTATCAACTAAATATGGGCAATATATCGGTGTGTTTCTATCCACTTTTTCGTCAATAATGCCCACAAAAATACTAAACTGCAACAATATACAATGAACGCAATACACAGAAACAATAACCTCGATAACAAAATAGCACCATACGCGACGTTGCCGTCATTTCCAACTTCATGGCTTGTAAGTTGTAGGGGGCTGTGACCCAGCCAAAAAAAGGCGGCAAAATACCCATGGGCGTACCTATGCATAACCTCATTTCATTTCAAATTTTCAAACATCTGCTTGCTTACTGCTTCTATTTATGGTTGCTTGTTGTGTTGTCCTGTCCTTGGAGAATTAGAGATTCTATTGACTATTAGAAAAACCTCAAGTTCTCTCGCTAATCGGATTTTTTTTTTACTTACAAAGTATATGCTAAATAAGTAATAATAATAATAGATATGGCCCCAAAAAGGAAACGTACCACTCCAACAAAAACCAATAACCAAATCAAAAATAAAAGAGGAAGATGTAAGTACATAAAAATATATTATTTATTATAGGAGAAAAGGATAACTTACAAACTAAATGTAAACTAAACACTACACCAATAAAAACAACATACAAGATGGCACTTCTATAGTAGGTACTTTTGTAATACTGGTATTTTGGTATTTATAAAGGCAGTGGATAGTGGTCTAAAAAATTCGGATCTCTAGTGTCCATAAGATAATTTTCGGATTTTTAATTTGTATATTAGGGGTCCGAAAATGCGGATCTTAGTGGTAATATTGAAGATCTGAATATAGATGTTTATTTCTAATTCTGTTTGTACTTAAGGAATATTCGAGGGAATATTATAACATTTTAATAGAATTGATAAAATGCTTGTATTTTTGAGGATATTATACTATAAAAAATGGATCCTCTGATTCCTCTGATCCTTAGTATGTGGACTCGTATGTGGATTAGCTAATCAAGTTTACTAAAAAAATTGCTAAAAAATATTTGGTTGGTATAATTTCAAACAAAAAAAGTACAAAAAACAAAACTAAAGTATGTTTTTTTTTTAAGATAATTCCTCAAGTCAATTATTTAGTAACTATGTTGGCAACGGTAGTGATGTGAACAAGGGAACGTTCTGATTGTGCTTTCGAGAACATTCGCGCACGAAAAAAAGGTTCGGGCTGAATATTACTTTCGGAGCACATTGAGCGCGATAGAGAATATTCAGCATGTTCTCAAGCACGATCCTAACCAATAAAATCACATGACGCCATAGAGTAGAGATATATTTATGGAAGCTGTTGAAGGCAGAGATATATCGAATATTGAGCCCGAGAACCAGGAAGCAATTAGCTGCAATAGTTATTTTTTTTTGTAAGCAAAGGTAGCGTTGTACTGGAATATACTCAAACTAAAATCACTACATATGAGATTAATTATAGGTCTGTTTCTGCAGAAATCACAAAACAGTCAGAGCGATTATTCTCGTTTATTCTCGATGCTGCTCGGAGAACGTTCTCCTAAAATACTTGCTCGAGCATTTTACATCACTAGGCAACGGCAACACACGCCTTTTCTACATAAAATAAAGTCTGTTTTTTTTTTTTAAAGATAAAAGTCAAAATGACATTATGTTGGCAATACAATGTAAAATTGTCAAGGCTGCTTTATTCTAAGTGCATGAAGCTAAACAAATTGGCTCTTGAAGTCCATCAGTATCATAATCATGAGCTAATGCCGCCCCCGAGGGGTAGGTCACTCCCCAATTAGGTGTACAAATGTTGAAACTTAATTGAAAAAATACATTTAATTACCTCAATTACCTTGCAATTACGTTCAATTACATTTGATTACACTCTATTACAAATAATTACACTCAATTCAATTCAATTTTTCAATTCAATTTATTGATCAGTACATACAGAAAAGTACAGGGCAGCCATAATGGCGTTGATCACAAATCACACCTAATTTTACAACAATATGACTAATAATACAATAATACAAAAACAATGACTGTCCAGCAAGAATACTGAGCTTACATAAAATCATCGAGCTAAACAATAGCAGTTATCAGTTTTTTTTTGTTTTTTTTTATCATCAGTTAATAAAATAAAATAAAACAAAATAAAAAATTATCAGTAAGACTGTCAGTACATATTCAATACAGATAAGACCACAAAGTTACAAGTATCCAAGACAAACCCGCAGGTACAATTCAAAAAAAGACAAAGAAGTGACCAGGAAACATCCCAGGCAATCATTGAAGAGTAAGCAGCCTTGGCACTGAATTCCGAAAATATTCATCGAAAGAATAATTTGCAGAGGAAACCAACACATCCCTTATTCTTTTCCTAAATTGCCCAATTGGCAGTTGTCTAATATTAAGAGGTATTGCATTATACCAAGCTCTACCCAAATGAAAAACTGACCTCCTAATAGTAACTTCCATCTGAGACTGGGGTAAACTTAAACTATATCTATTTCGAGTTTCGTAACTATGCGTATAGTTTGCTTCTGTTGAGGACTTATTTTGCAAAAAAATTAGGCTTTCAAAGATAATTAGGTCATACACTGTAAGAATCTGCAACCTTTGAAACAGTGGTTTGCAGTGAGCTAGCCGATCAGCATTTGAAATTATTCGTACTGCTCTTTTTTGTAAAATGAAAACAGAATTAAGTCGCGTAATTGTTGCATATCCCCAGAACACAAGCCCATATCTCAAGTGGGACTCAAAGAGAGCATAATACACTTCTAGTGATATAGCTTCGTCACCCAATTCTTGTGAGGCAGATCTAATAGCATAAGTAGCAGATGCCAAATTTTTTGACTGCTTATTTAAGTGATTTTCCCATTTCAGGGAACTATCCAGTACAATTCCCAAAAATTTATAGTCCGTGGCCTTATGAATAGCATTAGTACCTATTTTTAGGGAGATGTTTAAATTTTTATTAAAAGTCATAAACTTGGTTTTGTTGGTGTTGAGGGCTAGTTTGTTTGCATCAAACCATTGCTTAATTGATGCCAGATCAAACAAGTAATTACATTCAATTACAATTCAATTACATTTAATTACATTCAATTACGTTCAAATACTTTCAATTACAATCAATTACTGTCAATTAGAGCCCTCTATCATCCATCTTTATTTCCAATAAAACTTAATTACATTCAATTATACACAATTACATTCAATTACACTCAATTACACCTAATTACATTAATTACATTCAATTATGTTCAAATACATTTGATTATAAACATTCAATTACATTCTCAATTACATTCAATTACAAACAAATACATTCAATTACTTACAAATACATTCAATTACAAAAAAATAAATGTAATTGAATGTATTTGTAATTAGGTGTACAAATTCTATTGAGTGACCTACCCCTCGACCGCCCCCATCTAGGGCTCGGAATTGTATTCGAATAATTCGAATATTCGACTATTCTAAATTCGACTTTTTTGTTAGTTAGCAAATTCGAATATTCGACTATTCGAATATTCGACTATTCGAATATTCGATTATTTGAATATTCAATTATTCGAATATTGGACTATTTAACAATGCAATTACTCACTTTTTGATTTGAATATGTATTCAATTTAAAATTTCAATATTTGAATTTGAATGATACAATATACGACGTGTTTTCGGTGAAAATCAGCATTCAATAAATACAATGCATTTTTGTTCGTAATGTAAATTTAACCCTCTGTAAATTTGCCATTCAGACAACATCTAAATTATTTAAGTTTTTCTGACTCTGCAATATTCTGCAACTCTGCATAAAATTCAAAAATTCGCTTCGTCCAATCAACGCTTCGTCGTAGAACGTTCTTTTGCGGGAAGTAAAAACTTTTATCAAGAATGTTTGTTAGTCAAAAAACGTAATTTTTAAAGTCCCATTTTGTTCTCTTAATTAGGCCCTCTATCAATATTTGACTATTGGAATATTAGACTATTCGAATATTCGACTTTTTGACTACATATTCGAATATTCGACTATTCGAATATTCGACTATTCGAATATTTGACTGTTCGAATAGTCGAATATTTGACTATTCGACTATTCGAATATTCGACTATTCCAATATTCGACTATTCGAATATTCGACTATTCGAATATTCGACTATTCGAATAGGTATTCGAATAGGTATTCGAATAGGTATTCGAATAGGTATTCGAATCTTCGACTATTCGAATGTTGAGAAGTGTAAGGTTATTACTTTTTCTCGGAAAAAAACACCATACTTACATAATTACGTTCTTAATAATTTGGAGATTAACAGGGTTGAAACTATTAGAGACTTGGGAGTCTATTTCAACACTAATGTAAGCTTCACAGAGCACATTGAAATAACTGCTAATAAAGCAATGAAATTACTAGGCTTTATGTTCAGGTCACTAAAAGAATTTACTAATATCTACACCCTAAGAAACATTTATTGTGCAATTGTTAGATCAGTTGTAGAATATGCTTGCCCTGTCTGGTCCCCTTATTATGCTGTGCACATCTCCCACTTGGAACGAATCCAAAAAAAGTTTTTAAGATCCATTGCATATCGATTGGGCATCCCAAGTGAATCTATAAATTATAATGAGTTAATGTCTGTCCTAAATCTTGAAAATCTGAACCAGAGGCGACAGTTTTTTGATATGTGTACTTTGTTTAAGATTGTTAATAATTCTATTGATTCTCCAGACTTACTTGCTAGAATTGGCTTACATGTACCATCTAGCAATTTAAGAGGAAACACATTGTTTAACCTTGATTTTCGTAGAACCAATTATGGTTACCATTCACCTTTACTTAGAAGCTGTCGTTCTCTGAATGATATTATTTTGAAGACTGATTTGGATGTTTTTAACATAAGTTTGGATAGATTCAAAAGAATTTTAAAGTCGATCCTAAAATGATCGTTTTTTCTATTTGTATTCAATTTTAAGCGTATTATGTTGTTTATGTTTTGATACCTACTACAAAATATTTGTTTAGGCTTATGTAATATTGTTTTTTTATACTAACTTGTCTGTTGCCTACTTGTTATTCCAAATATTTATTATTGCGTGTACCTACACTTTAAGTCTACCTTTGTAAAAATGGCATGTCCGTAAATAAAGAATTTATTTTTATTTATTTATTTATTTATTCGAATTATTCAACTATTCGAATAAAATACCAAACGACTATTCGAATACTTGAATTTTAAAAATTCCGAGCCCTACCCCCAACTCATATTGTGATGTGTCACATGTGAGAATTATCGGTTTCCTTGCGTTATAATAAGTTAAAATATTTGAACCCTTAATTAATAGGGATTTGCATTTTATACAACACTCATCACATTCCTCTGTCCAAATCCAATTTTGATTCTTTTGAAGCAACTCACGCAATGGTCTGAGAAGGGATGACATATTCGGTATAAATCTACCCTAAAAATTTATCAACCTGAGAAATGCTTTAAATGTAGTTACATTATGCGATTTTGGGGCCAAGCTTATAGCTAAAATACCCTTCTAAGTAGGAGTAAACCTTCACTTTCGATAGTAAATGTCAAATATTCTACACTTGATTCAAAAAATGAACATTTTTCAAAGCATATTTTTAACCCTGCATTACTAAATTTTTTCAGAACAATTTCTACCTTCTTTTTACAACAATCTAAATCTTTGTCCTAGATCAAAATTTTATCAATATAACAACATACATTATTTAATTTCCTGTCCATTATGGCTTGAAAGATAGCTGGAGTACTAGTACCTAATACCAGAAGGCATCATTTTAAATTTATACAATCCTTGCATGGTATTAATAGTAATCAGCTCTTGTGCTTTTTCTGACGGTTCTAGCTGTTGCATTTTGCAAATCAATTAAGGTAAAAACCTCACATTTTCTCACTATGAAGCTAAAATATCACTCGGATTTGGCAAACGATAATGTTCTATTCTAGATACAGGGTTTATAGAAACTTTGTAATCCCCACAGATGCTTACCTTTTTGTGCTCTCCAGTCCCCTTTTCAATTACTTACTACTATTAGAGATGCCCATTTAGCATGACTTACTTTTTCCAAAATGTTTAATTTTTCCAATCTGTTCGATTCCTCACATACAGTTGACCTACGTGAATATGGTACTGGTCTTGTTTTGCAAAATATTGGTGTAGGATTATCTTCTAGAACGATATCAACTTTAGCTCCCGTATATTTACTATTCCCTTGAAAAATAACAGGACACCTTTTTTTATAGGTATTCAATTACAATGTCATTTGTTTTCATTTTCGCAATTTACTTGGTAATTTACAAATTCAAAAGAAATTTTCAATTCTTTAATCCAATTACGTCCTTAATAACATTGGACAAGATCTAACTGAATCAACTTTGACCACCAATAAAGATAAATCTTTCTTTTGATCTCTAAAACATACTGGAGCATCTATTTTTCCTAACACCAAAATATTGCTTATAGTAATGTATCGGGTCTTCAAAAAAAAACCAATCGAAGATTGCTTTGATTACGAAAACGTACGTCGCATTACTGTTTATTTATTGGACAGGATTTTTGTCATGACATTTTGACATTAAAAAGTTGATTGACAAAGTTAAATAAAAATATTGCTAAGACATACGTTTTAAAACCATAGCAATCTTAGATTGTTTTTTTTTTGAAGACCCGATATAATGAACTTCGCTAATCAAAGAGATTTAAGTACCGGTATCAATTTCCATTTCAAAGTTCATCGAGTCCCTTAATACCCTTAATAAAATAAGTTCAATAATTAAATGTGGCAGAGATCAAATTAAGAATTTCAAATTTTATTGGCTAGGTCCAAGTAGATCTTTTTAGTGTAACTAACACCTGGGGCATACGTTTTATATTTTATGTTTTGGTAGTTTTTATATTTTTACATTTTCTCTGTTTCCTTCCAAACTTAACATGTAATTACTATTAGTTTTTATGGTGTTTTTTAAAGTACATCAATAATTGAATAAATCTTGTACCATGTAGTCCGTGCATTGTATGTGTACAGTTTTCAAACTTATATTTTTATCTCATGAAATGGTCGGTCTATTTCAGTTACCCTAGACCGCATAGAACTTCCAGAACTCACAACAGAAGGAGTTTTACTGTCTACTGGATCAGGAGACGTTGGTCAGTTAGGTCTAGGTCCTGATGTTCTAGAAAAATCTAGACCAGCCTTGGTTGAGACAAAGCATGAAATAGTTGATATTTACGCTGGCGGTATGCATAGTGTATGCTTAACCAAAGAGGGCAAAGTATTAACATTTGGATGTAATGACGAAGGAACTCTTGGACGAGTAACTGAAGACGATGATGACTCCTGTGTACCTGGAGAAGTAGTCTTACCAGGAAAGGTAATACAAATATCAGCTGGTGACTCGCATTCTGCCGCTTTATTGGAAGACGGCCGAGTTTTCGCTTGGGGCACCTTCAGGGACTCTCATGGTAGTATGGGTTTGTCAGTTAATGGCAGTGAACGTCTTCCAATTGAAATGATGAAAGACAAAAAAATAGTTAAAATAGCCTCTGGGGGTGACCATTTAGTATTTTTAACCAACACTGGAGAAGTTTGGACTTGTGGTTGTGCTGAACAAGGGCAGTTAGGTAGGACCACAAGGAGAAGAAGTGATAGAGAAGAACTACGTAATAGTGGCAATGGTGATGTCTGCATAAATTTCATCAATCCTGCGCCAATACATTTGAAACCAAGTCCAAAACTTCATTTTGACAATATATGGGCCAGTACTTATGGGACATTTGCTAAAGTAGCAAATAGAGACGATATTTATGTGTGTGGTGTAAACAATTTTAACCAAATAGGTTTGGATCAGGTAGAACCAAGATACCTGCCAAAAAAAAGTCAAGATTTCTCTCAATACAAGTGGCAACATATTACAGGAGGTATGCATCATACTTTAGGATTGACTTTAGATAAAAAAGTGTATGCCATTGGCCGGAAAGAATATGGGAGATTAGGCTTGGGAGAAAATTGTGAGGATGCTACTGTGTTAACCAAAATTAAAGATTTATCTGGGAAAGGTGTAGTAAATGTGGCTTGTGGGTCCACAACATCATTTGCCGTCACAAAAGAAGGTAATAAGAATCATTTAAAATAAAATTATTAATACATTTTAATCTAACTTTGTTAATTTTCTAGGAGAACTATATGGCTGGGGCATGGGATCAAATGGTCAATTAGGACTAGGGACCGATGATGATGCAGTCGTGCCAACTGTTATCGAAAGCAAACAGCTGAAAGATAAACGAGTTATAAGAGTGTCTAGTGGAGGGCAACACACTCTTATATTATGTACCACAACAGGGATAAATGGCCATTAGTAATGACTGAATAAATCTTATAATAAAAGATATGCTACAAAAAAATCTATTTTTATTTTGTGTTTATATATTTAACTTAGGGTTTCCATAAAGGTTTTTCGAAATTCAGGACAAAGGAGTCAAGAAATCCGGACAAAATCCGGACTTCGCCGAAATAGCCATTTATGCGCAACAAGTGCGTAAAGTGAAAGACAAGTGCGACAAAATTCACATTCGTGAAAAAAGGTTTACTTTACACAATTATTGCATATACAAAAAAAAATTACTACCAATAAAATATGTATATGTAAAAAAATAAATTTTATTTACGACTAATGTATAATGTGCGTATTATATTTGTGATTTTGGCAGTATAATGACATATGTTATTCCTCCAGGGATTAATGACGAGTAGCGGGATTAATGGTCATTATTCCACGAAAGTGTCAGTGTCAAACGTGTAGTGCTTGTGGATTTGTATTGAAAATTATGAGACGGATGAAATTTGTTCATTGAAAATCTCAAATAATTTAATTTGTCGTAAATAAAGTAGAGTATACTACGCACAATAAAGGCTATTATTCCCTCGGAATGTTACTCCCTCGCCGTTAACGCGGCTCAGTTCGTAATAATCCTCGGGAATAATAGCTATCATTATTGACTCGTGGTATAATCTACTATTTCTCCAAACGTCAAAAAAACGCCACTTTGTTAATCTCTGTCAAGATGTCAGAAATTTCATTTCTATGCTGGTAGGCAAATCCAGCAGTATTGCAAGCCTCACTACGTTCGGCTCGCAAACCTACTGCTTCAGCACAAAAAAGTAAAGCTTCTACTCCTAATAGTCCTAATACAACAATATACTATTTTTCTCCGAATGACAGTAAAAGCGGCCTTTTAATGACACTTGACAGGATCAAAAGTGATATTTTTACTGCCTAGGCAGTAAAAGTGGACTTTTACTGCCTAGGCATTAAAAGTGACAGTGTCACAACTTTCCAGGTAATAATTTCACTTAATTTGGTATTTGAAATTGATGGTGACAGTGACAATTGTCAAAATAATTTATTTATTTGGATAATAATAATGAATGAAATAAATAAAAAAAAAAGATGTCCATGTGTGAATTTGAACATTCGGAGAAAAAATTATATGTTTTACATGGCAGAAAATCAGATTTAATGCCTCGGCTATGAAACACCAGCCGCGGCATTAAATCTTGTACTTTTCTGCCTAGTAAAAGTAAAACAAATAACTATTAGACAAATACTTTAAGTACTAGTACGTAAATCGTAACGTGGAGTAATTTACTAGAAAAAAAATTAGTGTCCACATCTGTCATTGACATTACTTCGATCACTACTTCACTTCACACGGTAGTGTGTGAAGTGAATTATTTTACGTCTTTTGAATAGTGTGTAAACTGAGTGAGTACGAGTGTTTTCACGATCTCCAAGTTTTCCGGACTTCCCCGGACACCCTAAAAACCCAAACATGTCCGGGTAAATCCGGACGTATGGAAACCCTAAGTTAACTGGCATAGTATTTGAAGCTTTTGAAGGGTTTCTCCTGAACTTATTCAGTATCAGTATGCCTTCTTATCTTCAAGTCAATATTTAGCTCTGTTTCTGCAGAAATCACCAACCAGTCGGACGGAGCGAATTTCATTGGTTGAAAACCGTCAGAAACACTAGAAACATTCAGAAAACTTGAAAACTAGTTTTAACCAATGAAATGCACTCTGGTTGGTTAGTGGTTTGTGATTTCTGCAGGAACAGACCTATTATTACGGTTTTTCGGTATTTTGATCTGAAATATCCGAGCTTGAATTTACCGTTCGTTGATTTGAAAAGTGTACTCGGTGAGCCTGCATCGGTACAGGCTCATTCGTGTTCGTTTATTAATATTTCTAGCCCTCTGATACAGGGCCTAGTTCAGAAATAACGCACAGGGTGCGAGTGCACCGGTGTCACACTCACACTGGGTGTGTCATTCCTGAACTCGCCCCAGGGCTTAATTGCTCTGTTCGCTTGCTTGTCACGTGATTACGGCTCCGCTCATCACGCTCTGCTCTTTGAGCAAAATACCGAACGCAAGGCTAGTAAAGCTTAACCGGTGAACTCAAAAATTCTTGCAGAGAACTCTTTCAACGTTGTGGATAAGTATGAGAATTTTCTAATAGTAAATAATGAATTTCTCTGAGGAAGTTTGTATTTTCTTTCACAACAATCGTCAATCACTGCTTTTGCTTTTTCAGGTTTTTCGTTTTTCATTTTCATGGATTTTATCTATTTTACGTCAAAGAGGTCACTCGGAAGTCGGAAACTTGGAACACATTTTGCTGCTCCGAGCATGCGGGCTTGTGTTGCAAGCACACACAACTTAATAATCCGTATTTATTATGCTCGGATTTTATTTATGCAATAATTTAGTCCATGTACAAAAAATGTAAAACGAACAAATTATGGAAGAATTATGCTATTAATGGAGCGTGCTTTTTGAGTGAGCTCCATTTACTCGACTCCGTATAGCCTATGAATCTAGAGACATCTAGGTCTGTTCTCACAAAAAAACAAAACCCCGACAGAGCAAATTTCATTGGTTGAAAATGGTCAGAAAACTGGTTGTTGGCAATTTGCACCAATCAAAAACGCTCTGACTGGTTTGTGTTTTGTGATTTTTGTAAGGACAGAGCCGCTTTCGGGTGCAGAGTGCGAAGCTCCTAGAACACTTTACACCTGTCATATTCCATGCGTTTTACACTCGAGCGTTTGAAACCGAATGGGTCAAACTGTAGCCGGAATAACTCGGGAGCGCTCAAAGGATGGCACCCGGAAGCAGCTCTGACCTATAAAGCTACTTCAAACAATACCTGCTTGAATCATGCCTAGCGCATTGAACTCTAGCGTTCAATGCTAGCGAACAAAGCTACTCTATTTACGCTAAAAAGCAATATCTACAACTCTCCACTGTCTAGGAAGGAAATAATTTTGGTGCCCGAACGGTTTAAATATAAGCCACTTTCCAGCTGACATTCTGTTTGTGCTTCAAGCACGGTGCAGCACAGTGTTCTGTATTTGAAGCACAAAGTTAGCAGCTCGGGAAGCGCAGTACGGCCAGAACACAAACACGCGCTTGAAGATTTGCGCGCGCAAACGCTCGATTGCGTGCTCAAAATGGTCAGCTGGAAAGCGGCTATAGTGGGACACCGTTCACTCGGTACAAAATGGTGGTATATTCGGTGTTACACCGCCGATTACACTTACACCTTCGCTATGCGAAATAACCCTGCAGCACTACACGAACGCCCCACCAAAATCCAATTCCGAACTCAATTCTGAAAGCACCTAGGAAAAAACCGTCAACCGTCAGTGGTCAGTAGTCAGTGTCATGTCAAGTGTCAATTGTTAATGTATTTGTTTTCAACAAAAAATGTGATTACAGATTGCCGGATAGTATAGTATAATTTTATTAATCAATAATAATACCTCCAGGATCTAGGAATTTAATTACAACTTCAAAGTCTTCAACTCAACTAATCTCCTTTAAATTTGCCAAAAAAGTCAGTGAAAATAAAGGCGGAGTTTGTAATGGATACCGAAAATCCCAGCAACATGTCCGAGTCACTGGATGCAGTTGTGGATCTAATAAAACTCATTGAGTAAGATTGAACAATGTTTTCGGAAGTTTCTTGGGAAATTCCAAATTCTAAGATAGTCTATCCTTGCTCTTGTGTAGTTTATGTATGGTCACAGTTAGAGACGATTTTCATAGATATTTAATACCCTCGCTCCTCGCATTATACCAAGCTTTTATAGCGGTGTGAAGTTAGCTGACAAATAGTTAGCTGCCAAAGTGCCGATGATTGCCGAACGACCATGGGCGGAGGTCAACAATTTAAATGAATTAAATTAATTCAAAATACTTTAGCAATAATTGAAAAATACTTGAAATTATACAATCTGAATGTATTTTCAATTAAAATGAACAAATAAATATATTCCAGTAAAATAACAACTAATAGTACTGTAAAATAACAACAAACTAAAACAAAAATAATATGTAAAAAATTCAGGACAATTTTGTTTCACCGAATTTCGAAGCTGATTTTAAAGAACAGACCCCACACCACAATTTGACCCCCCACTTGACCCCTCAGTCTCCTCAATAGACTGGTAAAATCAGAAATACAACAAAAAAAAATTCTAAAAAATCGAAGACAATTTTGTTTCACCAAATTTCGAGATTAATTTGAAAGAACAGACTCCACTCTACAATTTGACACCCCATTCGACTCCCCAGTCCCCTCAATAGACCGGTAAAATTAGAAATATGACAAAAAAAAAATCTAAAAAATCGAAGAAAATTTTGTTTCACCAAATTTCGAGATTAATTTGAAAGAACAGACTCCACTCTACAATTTGACACCCCATTTGACCCCCCAGTCCCCTCAATAGACCGGTAAAATTAGAAATATGACAAAAAAAAAATCTAAAAAATCGAAGACAATTTTGTTTCACCAAATTTCGAGATTAATTTGAAAGAACAGACTCCACTTTACAATTTGACACCCCATTCGACTCCCCAGTCCCCTCAATAGACCGGTAAAATTAGAAATATGACAAAAAAAAAATCTAAAAAATCGAAGAAAATTTTGTTTCACCAAATTTCGAGATTAATTTGAAAGAACAGACTCCACTCTACAATTTGACACCCCATTTGACCCCCCAGTCCCCTCAATAGACCGGTAAAATTAGAAATATGACAAAAAAAAAATCTAAAAAATCGAAGACAATTTTGTTTCACCAAATTTCGAGATTAATTTGAAAGAACAGACTCCACTCTACAATTTGACACCCCATTCGACTCCCCAGTCCCCTCAATAGACCAGTAAAATTAGAAATATGACAAAAAAAAAATCTAAAAAATCGAAGACAATTTTGTTTCACGAAATTTCAAGATTTATTTGAAAGAACAGACTCCACTCTACAATTTGACACCCCATTTGACCCCCCAGTCCCCTCAATAGACCGGTAAAATTAGAAATATGACAAAAAAAAAATCTAAAAAATCGAAGACAATTTTGTTTCACCAAATTTCGAGATTAATTTGAAAGAACAGACTCCACTCTACAATTTGACACCCCATTCGACTCCCCAGTCCCCTCAATAGACCGGTAAAATTAGAAATATGACAAAAAAAAAATCTAAAAAATCGAAGAAAATTTTGTTTCACCAAATTTCGAGATTAATTTGAAAGAACAGACTCCACTCTACAATTTGACACCCCATTCGACTCCCCAGTCCCCTCAATAGACCGGTAAAATTAGAAATATGACAAAAAAAAAATCTAAAAAATCGAAGACAATTTTGTTTCACGAAATTTCAAGATTTATTTGAAAGAACAGACTCCACTCTACAATTTGACACCCCATTTGACCCCCCAGTCCCCTCAATAGACCGGTAAAATTAGAAATATGACAAAAAAAAAAATCTAAAAAATCGAAGACAATTTTGTTTCACCAAATTTCGAGATTAATTTGAAAGAACAGACTCCACTCTACAATTTGACACCCCATTCGACTCCCCAGTCCCCTCAATAGACCGGTAAAATTAGAAATATGACAAAAAAAAATTCTAAAAAATCGAAGAAAATTTTGTTTCACCAAATTTCGAGATTAATTTGAAAGAACAGACTCCACTCTACAATTTGACACCCCATTCGACTCCCCAGTCCCCTCAATAGACCGGTAAAATTAGAAATATGACAAAAAAAAAATCTAAAAAATCGAAGAAAATTTTGTTTCACCAAATTTCGAGATTAATTTGAAAGAACAGACTCCACTCTACAATTTGACACCCCATTTGACCCCCCAGTCCCCTCAATAGACCGGTAAAATTAGAAATATGACAAAAAAAAAATCTAAAAAATCGAAGACAATTTTGTTTCACCAAATTTCGAGATTAATTTGAAAGAACAGACTCCACTCTACAATTTGACACCCCATTTGACCCCCCAGTCCCCTCAATAGACCGGTAAAATTAGAAATATGACAAAAAAAAAATCTAAAAAATCGAAGACAATTTTGTTTCACCAAATTTCAAGATTAATTTGAAAGAACAGACTCCACTCTATAATTTGACACCCCATTCGACTCCCCAGTCCCCTCAATAGACCGGTAAAATTAGAAATATGACAAAAAAAAAATCTAAAAAATCGAAGAAAATTTTGTTTCACCAAATTTCGAGATTTATTTGAAAGAACAGACTCCACTCTACAATTTGACACCCCATTTGACCCCCCAGTCCCCTCAATAGACCGGTAAAATTAGAAATATGACAAAAAAAAAATCTAAAAAATCGAAGACAATTTTGTTTCACCAAATTTCGAGATTAATTTGAAAGAACAGACTCCACTCTATAATTTGACACCCCATTCGACCCCCAGTCCCCTCAATAGACTGGTAAAATCAGAAATACGACAAAAAAAAATTCTAAAAAATGGAAGACAATTTTGTTTCACCAAATTTCGAGATTTATCTGAAAGAACAGACTCCACTCCACAATTTGACATCCCATTTGACCCACCAGTCCCCTCAATAGACTGGTAAAATCATAAATACGACAAAAAAAAATTTAATGAAATAATTTTTGTCAACAAGTATAGGTACCTACAGTTGCGATAAAAAAAAAGTAGTACAAGAAAAATCTCCAAAATTTCCTGGCCTATTATACGTTAATTTAATTCATAACCAAAAATGACATTTTTGAAATTTTTCGACAAGTTTTTAACCTAGAAAGCTTCAGATGACATTACTTTGAAATTTTTCCACCCTTTTTTAACCTAGAATATGTATATCATTGCCTGTCAAAATTTTGTATGTTACAACGGTAGCTCAAATTGGGGTTAATAATTTTTGTACGAAAGTCTGTTTTTTTTTTTTAAGATAATTCTCCAAGTCAAAAATTTAGTAACTATGTTGGCAGCACAAGCCTTTTCTACATAAAAAATTTGAAAGCATTGACAATTTTACATTGTATTGCCAACATAATGTCACTTTGACCTATGACTTTGACTTTTATCTTTAAAAAAAAAACACACTTTACTTTTTTTAGTACCTAAAATAAGGTTTTTCAGGAAGAATATTTGCTGTTTCAGCAAATCAGTTCTAAAAAACCTAATTTAGGTGGAAGAAAAAAACCTGACAAGGGTTTCTTTCTATTGTAATTTAGCTTGTAGTGCTTGCCATAAGTACTGACGTCAAATTAGCTATTAATTCTAAGGTGAAAATCGCATAAGGTAAAAAAGCCAGGTTTATTAAAATATTTAAAAGAGATAACTCATAACCTTCATGTCCGGGATTTTTTCCGCAATTGTACGTGATACAATTAGTATATTGTTGTATTAGGAGTACAAGTTTTACTTTTTTTTTACAAATTCTTTTAGAATTTTTTTTTGTCGTATTTCCGATTTTACCGGTCTATTGAGGGGACTGGTGGGTCAAATGGGGTGTCAAATTGTAGAGTGGAGTCTGTTCTTTCAAATAAATCTCGAAATTTGGTGAAACAAAATTTTCTTCGATTTTTTAGATTTTTTTTTTGTCATATTTCTAATTTTACCGGTCTATTGAGGGGACTGGGGAGTCGAATGGGGTGTCAAATTGTAGAGTGGAGTCTGTTCTTTCAAATTAATCTCGAAATTTGGTGAAACAAAATTGTCTTCGATTTTTTAGAATTTTTTTTTGTTGTATTTCTGATTTTACCAGTCTATTGAGGAGACTGAGGGGTCAAATGGGGGGTCAAATTGTGGTGTGGGGTCTGTTCTTCAAAATCAGCTTCGAAATTCGGTGAAACAAAATTGTCCTGAATTTTTTACATATTATTTTTGTTTTAGTTTGTTGTTATTTTACAGTACTATTAGTTGTTATTTTACTGGAATATATTTATTTGTTCATTTTAATTGAAAATACATTCAGATTGTATAATTTCAAGTATTTTTCAATTATTGCTAAAGTATTTTGAATTAATTTAATTCATTTAAATTGTTGACCTCCGCCCATGGTCGTTCGGCAATCATCGGCACTTTGGCAGCTAACTATTTGTCAGCTAACTTCACACCGCTAGCTTTTATACTAAACTCAGCCGAAAATGAAATGGGACACCTCGAAATATCACTATATTTGGAAAGCTGTAACTTTTGTAATTTCATTCCGATGGTGAATTTCAAACTAGTGTTGGGAAGCCCTAACTTTATACTTTTTTCAGTGGTGGCGGATCCGCTTTTAGCCGAAGCTTTCTTATATACAGGGTGCTGAATTTGTCAGCATGCAAAATTTGAGAAATTCATCGCAGAATCTGGAAATAATGATGCATCAATCAATCACACAGAACATATCACCTATAGAAAAATATCTCAAATGGGAGAATCGTGAGGAAGGTTTTTAGTTAGGTTTTTAGTCAACGATGGCGACACTGTCGGGAGATAAGAGAAATTTACAGGTATCTGTGGTGTGGACAGTGATTTGTGTTGGTTGGTTTTGTCATTTATTTTGTCATTTTAAAAGTCAAAATTTGAATTTTTAAATTGTGTTGTTGTAAACTATGGTCCCCTCGCGCGTTAACACGTTCGCGGAAGCGAACGAAAAATGGTGACTGCGTAAAA